ATATATATATATATATATATATAAATTTATAATTAAATTAAAGTGATTTATAATTAAATATAAATTAAAAAAGATTCTGATCACTTCAAGGCATTAGTTTACATTATCTATGAATTTGAAATTATATAACTACGATATTAATATTATTATTATACGATATGAATATTACTCTTTGATTAGAAGACGAAGACAGGAAAAATATTAATAGATTAATATTAATAGATTAGTCAAAACAAAGTTTTATTAGAGAAGATCAAAACACGTTTCTTGACAGACAGATTACGCCAAAAATACAAAATATTCTATATGACAGTAAGTTTCTAAATGATGTAATCAAGAAATAGATTGTATCTATAAAATCTAGAAGGCAGTAAAAACGCCATCTTTTATAGTAATACAAAAATAACAATATTCTTAACGATATCTTATATGATACATAGACTGCTCTGAGAGCTCTAATAATGAAATATTCTTGAAAAAAAAAAAAATTATGTATTATATTTTCCGCCGCTATCGATATAAATCTCAACCTCTTAAATATAGTGCATAATACTTATACATTTAAAAAAAAAAAGAAAGTGAAGTTTAGAAAAAGTAGATGTATTAGAAAAAATGCGCGCTGGTAATAAATAGGACAACAAATGGAATCGGTGGAAGTTCTCTTTTCTCCAACAATGGACAATCAATTTAATTTCTTTGAGTTCTCCGCGTCCTCCGCGTTCGATGTAGCTTTCGAATTCGCGTGATCTTGTACTTTGTTGTTTACAGCGTGACGGCTCGTTAATTGTAGAAATCGGACCAAAGATCTGATGTAGGATTTCAAATTGCCGGCGCTGATGGTGCCCAAGTGAAGTATTATGTTTGAATACAAGCGGCGAGCAGCTTTATTAGATAAACGTCCGACTGTTTGTAAAGTGTGGAGCAGCTTATCTTCTTCGTTCGTGTTTGTTTCTAAAATCGAGCAACAATGACATTTAGTATTACGATGGGAAATTATCTCGTCACGATCAAATGTATTATTCTTAATAATAATAGCGCGGATTTTGATCACGCATTTTATTAACGAAATTTATAATATTTAGCATCTGGTGAAACAGATTGTATATTTTTTTAATTCGTAGGAACATAAATTTGCACAAATATGTATTTCCCATTTGCAGTAAACGATCTATTAAAGAGTAAAGAAATTTTCCCTAAAATTCATGTAAAATAGCTCACCTACTGACTGCTCGTCACCTATCGCGGGAAAGTATTTATCGATTAATTTATCAACAACGTCAGCTGTGCTGTCCAAACCTCTGACAGCTGCGCTACCGTATTGCGTTTCTAAAATCTGATTCGCCTTGCTCCAGCTTAAATCTCTCAAACATAATGCCTGCGAGATAATCAATTCGTTAGCAAGCGAAATACTCGTTACAGCTGGTTGAACAGTTTGGCGTGCCAACGTGTAGGCGTTTTCCAAAATCTGGAACAAGTAACGCACATGATTAGAAAAAAAAAAAAAAAAAAAAGGATTAAATGGAAGATATCCAAATATGATGAAAAAAAAAAAAAAAAATCGATTCTTAGATTCCGATTGGAATTTTTTTATCCTGTTAATGCCGGAAAATGGGGATTGAATTCTAACCTGCTCGGGTTTCTCTTTAACCATCGGCACTTTTTCTTCGATTTTGTCGAGACCACGGCACAGCGTGTGGTCGACAAAGTGTATAGGGTTCTCGAATTTCTTGGCGATGGGTGCAGCAATAGGTACTGCTTGCCTCGTTGCATTGCTTAAAGAAGTCTCTGCGGTGGTTAGTGCCCAGTGTATCAGTTGATTGCAGTCTTTCACACGCAAATACGTCGCCGTTGATTTGGATATCGCGCTCTCGACCATTGGCAGTTCCATCACACGATGGAACACCTCGATGTGAGGTAACTGTGCTACTTCGGTAGCCATTCTTTCAATGTTGATGGAAATCTCTTCGATGTTTTGCAATTTGGACAA